TTTAAAGTATGTGCTTTTAGCTTGATTGTAAATTGGAAATTTTTACTTAATGAGAAAGAGTAAATTGGGGTGCTCATCCCCTTCAAAGTAACATGATTTCATTAGAATTTACTGCCCTTTTTAAGTCTGGTTATCTCCAGAGAATCTTCTGTCCACTTTGCTTATGTCTACTTAAAAGTAAATCTTCCTCACCTCATCCTATACTCCGTGTACAGAAGCACCTGCCCCTCCCATACCTGTGTGAAAATTAAGTCATGAGCATTTTTACTATACTGGCTCTGCAACCATTAACTGCATAAAGCAATTTTAACTGAATTTTTTCAAAGTTTCAATATATCTAGAGTATGAGATACTGAAAAAAGTAAATTATTGTGTATAGCTGTTTCAGATACATGGGGAACAATCAGATAGGGATATAATTGCTTTGTAATTTTCTGACCTTTGAAATGAAAATGCTAGCAATAGAACCAAGTATGAAAGTGCATGAAAATGCTTTTTTTCCCTTCATAATCATTGCAGAATCCTCTCTCTCTCTCTCTCTCTCACACACACACAATTTAACTGCAGAGACAACCTGAGCTTTAGCTTTCAAATCTGAAACTAATGTGCTGTGTCACCTTCAGCAAGACCTAAATAAAACACCTTGCATCCCAGCTTCCTCAGCTATGAAGAAGGGATAATAATATCTGTCTTGCCAGGTTGCTTTGAGGATTAGAAATAATCTATGTCAAGCAAGTGCCTGGAATATAGAAGGTGATCAATAAAAGTTAGATATTATGTTAGCTGTTATTCAGCCAATGTAAGGAAAGTCAGAGTAGGAAAAGTCTAAACAAACATTTTCAGAATATAAAATAGGAAATGCAGACATCCTGTTATTAGAGTTGTGATTAACAGACACAAGGGGAAACATGCCTGGAAAAGAGACAAAAGAAGAAATATGGGTGTCCGGATAGCCCTAAAATAGCTTAACATGGAGGGAATGCAGTTATAGATAAAGAGAGCCTGCCTAGATTGAGGTATACAGATGCCACCAACTATACGGCACCTACAGAAGGACTAAAGTAATGCAAATTGAATTGTTAGTAATAAAAATATTCAGAATAGCAAGTGTTGTAACATCTTAGCATTCAGGTAATTAAATTAGGATTATACAGGGGTCTCTGGGTCATCTGGTACATTAGCCTATAGCTTCACGTTTGACTGATGAAACTCCGAGCTATTTCCCCATCAGATAATTCATATATCCCAGAAGTCTAATCACTCAGCTGTGATTAAGGGGCAGCCACCTTAGGTGCCACTGCATTCTGACAGTGGACCCAGAAGTCCGTTCTGGGGGTAGATATCCACAATAAACCAGTCCACCGGCAAGAGTAACCTCTTTCTGTTACTTCAATTCTCTAACTAATCTGGACAAAAGGAAAAATAAAAGCACTAGCTCGTTTAACACTCTCAATAACCATATGAGGTAGGTACTATCCATTATTATTTTCTGGAGAAGGAATCTGAGGTCCAGAGAGTTTAGGAAAATGCTTGAGACAGAAGCAGTCTCCCTCCTGAGCTCACACTCTTAACAACTGGGCTATGCTGCCCCTCTAAGATAAATAGGTCGAGATTTGCAGATACTAGCTACTATGTAAAAAAACAGATACACAACAAGTTTATACTGTCTAGCAGAGGGAACTCTATTCAATATCTTGTAGTAAGCTATAATGAAAAAGAATATGAAAACAAATATATGTTTGTATATGTGTGACTGAAACATTATGCTGTATGCCAGAGATTGACACAACATTGTAAACTGACTATATGTCAATGAAATTTTTTAAAACTTGAGGGAAAAAATAAAATAAATAAGGAAGACTTATGGTACATATTAACTTCAGTGAGAAGAACTGGCAAGATTTTGACTATGAATTGTGGGGGAAAAATAAGAGCATTACACAGAAAAATAAATTATTCAAAGATTCGGGCGCTGGTATGAGTGTATCTGTAGTAGTACCTGCAGTATAACCGAGGCACTAAGCTGATGTTGACAGTTTTTAGTTCAGAGCAGTGCTACTCAAAGTGTGGCCCATGAACAGTCTTGAATTATTTGTTGCTGATCTGCCATGAGACAGGAAGTTTGTGCCAAAAGGTAAACCAGCTGTATCACTAAGCAGCTGGTTGCTTTGTCCAGAATTTTCTTTTTTTTTTTTCTTGAAGCAGGATGTTCTTGTTGAAGCATGCATTGCAGTAATTCACATTCTGACATGAGCTTTTTACCTTCGCACAGACAAGTGCTTTGAAACACACTGAATTAGAGTAGAGGCAATGTTGCTGTAACGATGACATTCCAAAAATACAGTGGCTAAATAAAGTAGAAATGTGTCTCTCCTCAGACAACTGTCTAAAAATGGGCAGACAGTCTAAGAGAGTTAGACCGCTCTGTTTCACATGGCTGTCCAAGGTCCAGGGTTGGCAGGTGTTTGACATATGTATGGTTTCCACCTCTGAGTCCAAGGCACTTGCTGCAATTGGAGCCATTTTACAGCTGGCAGTAAGTGGAAAGGGGGAAATCTAGGGAGAGTGGCTTTATCCTTAAGAGGATACCTTACATCATTTCAGCTCACTTTCTTTAAACTGAAATTGGTCATCTGAAGAGAGCTCAATTCGAGAGACTGTGAAATAGAGTCTCTAGCTGCAAACCCAAAACAAAATAGGGGATGTTCTGAAGGAAGAAAGGGAGACTAGAAAGGTTAGCCTTCTCTGCTGTAGTGAAAATTATGTTTAGAGAGTTAAGCTGAAGCTAGACTATGGAGGATTTGAGATTGAATCTGAATAAAAAGATTACAGAAAATAGAGTCACCAGTAAAAATAAAATAAAATTTCAGTTATGTGAAATACATAAGAAATTTTGAGTTTATTGGCTTGTAATTAACTCATTTTTTCACAGTTTCCAAAGATGAATTCATAAAGAAATGCAAGATGTATATGTAGTTGTCTTTCTATGTAACTAGTCTTTTGTTATTACACTCTACTCATATTCCAGCGAAAAGTGGGGATGGAAAATGCATTGGAATCAAGTCTGAGGTAGGGATCTGGTTCAGTGATTTACTGAGGAAATGCTTTTAGGGAAACTCTATAAGGGAAAAAGTAAAACAAGAAAGAGACGAGGAAAGAGCTGAGCCCAGGTGTGGTTTTAGGAAAAGTTTGGCCTTGATCAGATCTGCAGGGAGAAAGCTAATCACGCAAACTGTCTCACCTTGAAGTAAGCAGGTCAGGCTTCTACACCCCTGTGTCAGTCAGTCTTCGGACTTGGACCAACCCCCTGGAGAGTGGGAGAGATGCATAATTTCCTGTCAAGGGGTTCCTATTGGCCAGGGCAATACTCAGTCTCCCTAGCTGGGGGCAAAAATGGGCTGAGAATGGGGATAGGGTGTTGCACTGGCCAGAAATAAGGTGTTTCCTTCAATGGAGGAAAGAGCACCCCCGCCCTGTTCTACACCTCACTTCACATAGTTGTGCTTGCTTCTCAACACACTCACCTACCCAGGTGCAATTTTTCCACAATTGTAAAGGTAATTCCTGGGGAAACCTGTAAGGAGGGTCATTAGAAGAAATGCAACCCCACTGCTGCAGTTGGTTCCAAAGCTGAAACCAGTGCATGTTTCCTCCCACCTCCATCCCCTATTCTGATTTCACCCCACCTGTGGTTAGCGCTTCTCCCGGGCAAGATGGCTCACCTGGTGGGTCAGGCACAGCCTCAGGACCAGCTGCAGCAGCAACAGCTCAATGTTTGTCCCACTAAGTCTTTTCTTACAAGTTTCCCCCAAGAATTATGACAGGGAAAGGCCGTGCCTGGGTGGAGAGAACTTCATTTGTGAAGCAAGGAGTACACTGTGGCAGGCTTTTGTGGTGCCCAGAACAGCCCTAGTCAGGCTGTGCTTGCTGTCCTTTCTGATCTACAGTTAAACTTGGGCACCAAAGTGTCAACCAGTAACCCAGTGTATTACTTGAATACCAAAGACATGTGTCCCTGTATAGTGGCTGTTCTGCCTCTCATGATGATGAGGGTCAGTTGCCCCTATCACGATGGTAACTCATTTCCATGCCTGCTGGTCTGCTGGCACAAGGAGTCCAAAGTGAATGGGCAATAGTTTCAAATTTTAGTGTGATGGTCCTCTTCGGTGCCTCCTGCTAGGGGCATCCTTCTTCTGGGAACTAGAACTCCTAGACCCAAAGACCTTAAAGTTGTGGAGATGGACAGCACCAGTTCTCCAAATAAGCCATTTAATTCTCAAAAGTGTCATGAATTGGGTGGTAAATTTGGGTCACTTGAATGGAATGAAGATTGGCACAGGAAAAGGTTGAGATGGGGATAAAATTGGACAGATGGCTGTGTTGGGTCTGGCATTTCCTCACCACATCTACACAGCAATGACACCTATGCAATTTAAAATATAGGTCTAAAGTTCAGGAGGGAGGTGGGGGCTAAAAATAATGAACTACATGCTACCAATTTATGGGGTATGGCCAGTGTATGAGATAAGCTGGGTCAGCAGAAAATAGCACATAGTGTGAAAAGGAAAGGGAACGTGAGCCAAGTCTGGAGTTCAAGGATGGCCTTCCAGCCTCTAGGGGAAAAAAATAGGAAAGATTAGGACAGAACACGGATATCCAAGAAACTATGGTCAAACTAGGTAGAGACAAGTTAAGGCTCAGGTTTACAAATATAAAACATAAATTCAGAGATAGGGTGGAATCTCAGCAGTTAGAACCTAGCCAAGCCTCAGAAGGGGATGAGGGCAGAAGAAACTTGAAACTGAGTTCTAGCCTTAGAGAAAGGATGGTGCCGTTTTATATGGAAAGATTTGGAAATCAGAGAACCAGAACCAGACCAAGGTCCTACTCCCAGTTCTAAGGTACCAGTCAAGAATTTGATCCTGTCTTTTGAACAGTTTTTGTGGAACAAAGCCAGGCATTCATTACACCGCAAGCGTCATTACTCTTCCTTCTTGCAGAATCCCTGTGATGATAAAAGGCACAAAGACATCTGGTCCAGAGAGAAAACTTGTGACCACTTACCAAAATTCCTTGTAATCGGGCCACAAAAAACAGGTGAGAATAACCAACCTTCTTTCTTTCTTTCTTCTTTTTCTTTTGTCATGAAACATATTATATATGGTGTTATTTGACTGATTATGTTTCACTTTGTGAAATATTTAAGCACCCATGCAAGTTCATTATTTGAATTGCTCTTTATTCCTGTGTATCATTTTTATACCACAATCCCCAAAGAGACCCTAAAGTTGCTTATTTAATTAGACATATGAAATAAATTTTTAATTATCAACTTTACAATTGTTTAACAGACATCAAATTTTTGACAACATTGAGGTTACGTGTCACAGTTGTAGTGTCTAATTTTTAATTTCTACTTTTTGTGGCTTTGCCTAATTCACTCCTGAATTAATTTGTTTAAAAAAAAGGGCTTTGGTTTGATTCAGACTATTGTACACTGCATATCGACCTTGAATTGATATTTTTTTCAGAACTGCTGCCATTATCACCTTCAGATATTCTAGATGTGTGGCCTGTTCGTTTGTTTTAATAATCATTACATATATATGGTTTAGACTTATTTTCTGCTACACATAAGGTTCATCAGGCATTTTTTTCCCTTGGTATTTTCTCATGTGCTGAAGGACAAGGGTATAAGAATGTAGTAAAAGAGAGTAAAAGTATTTCACCAATGAGATGACACTTTCAATTAGAATATTTTATACTTTCTTCAGTATGTGACAGTTTTATATACTTTGCTCGTGTCCTGATTAATTAAAGTTTTTATTGAGTTGCTATATTTTGAATTCACTCCTTTGACTAGAAGCATTTTCATCAGTGAGTGCACAAACCATAACACAAAACAAGCATTCACAGTAAATAAGCCTGGCCCGGATGAAGATAGGTATAATACAAGCAAGTAGATCATTTTAAAGGTTGTGGGCAAAATTTCCAGACTATTAGATTCTGGTTGTTGAAATCTTTTCTTCCTCCAGGAATATAAATTTTATTACAACAGTACAGAGAGGGAAAAAAAAATCAGCACATATGTTCAGATATATCACTTTTTGTTGTTGTTGTTGTTGTTGTTGTTTAAAATGTGTGTTAATTTTCTACCAAATCCCTCACAGCAGTTCTAACACTGGAATGACAACTAACGAAATAAAACATTCCTTTGTCGTAAAATTATGTTAAAAATTTAATTTAAAGACATATCTTCCATCATTTGTCATTGACTATTACAACTTCTTAGTTCTGCTAGAAAATTACAGGTTGGTAAACATAAATCTAGTATTCCTCCTTGTTGTTTGTATTTATAAAGACAATAACTTATGCTTTAGATTTTGATGTTTGACCTATCACTGTGGAAATGATAAAGCTTTTAGCAGGTTTTGGCTTTCCCAAGACAAACAAACATGTTAAAGTAAGAAATTGGGTGATAATATTTTATATGCTATGAAAATGCTATTTAATGTGAAAACGATTGTGATAATTCTTAAAATCCATTCCATCATAGACGTCTGAAGTCTTTGTTTGTTCTCTTTATTGCTTCAATTGGCAAAACTCCTACTGCTGTCAGAGGCTGTAAATTCCCTGGAAGTTGGGCACATATACATGCTAAGAATCTGGCCTTCAATGCAAAGTTGTCTTTAAACAACTTCAACATGGCCCGTGCATCCCTTGCAATACACATGAAATATAAAAGTAGTCCCCAAACCCCTATTTGCTCAGTTGTTGTGAGATGAGAATGGAAGGATGAAATATCCCACTTCTCCATTGCTGAATCCTGGAAAAAATTCCCATGGGTTGAAAGTGGGGCCGTGAAGGGAAACGGACAGATTGCTGGGTAGCCCTGGGCTTAAGGCACTTGAAGTTGACATTGTAGTTCTGCTAGAATCCCTTGGACACATGAGCATTCTTTGTGATTCTGGGTCAAATTTTGATATTACCAGGGTAGGAGAGGATTTCCAGAAAGATTAAATTTAGCACAATAATTCTAAAAGCATAATTCATTGGCCTTAAATCTAGAAGATCAGAGTCCCGATTGTCAATATTAATTTCTCACGATTTGACTGGCTTACACTGGGAAACTTACTCTGGTAAAACTAAAAAGAAGTAAAGAAGTTGATTGTACGTAAAATAGAGTAAAGTTTCTCCTTAGAATGTTACAAGGTGTGAGAAACTTCCTCTACAAACTATTTATATCAAAGATACTGGTTAAAAATGAATTTCAAGGATAGATGAAAACACAGGTGGTAAGAAAATAAATACACATTTTCAAGCAGTACACCCAGATTTTATGGCTGATTATAGGAATGACAAGCCATGAGTCTACTGATGACACTGTCCCTAGATGAACATGCATTCTCCTTCCTTCCTCTCAGATGCCTGGCGGCATGAAGGCGTATGGCTCAGAACATAAAGGCTTTGACTTTCTTTAGCCCCAGGGAGACCTGGGTGCAATTCTGTGACCCTCAGGGTGATTAAACACTGGTACATGCTATTGAGTATGGTTCTAAAGTGTTTATTTTGAAATATTTAGCAATAATTCAAAAATATTCCTTTATCTGTGCCTTGGATCCACCCAATGTCAACATCTCAGGGATGTTAAGCTATCAATATTTCCAGCTTTTATGCATCTCAAAAATCTCTCTCTCTCCTCTCTCTTTCTTTCTGGGTCTCTCTTTCTCTGTCTGTCTATCTCTCTCTCACACACACACACAAACACACAGATACACACATGCACACACACTTCATTCTCATCATCAACTAAATATTTTTATGTAGGTCCCATCCTAAAAAGTATTTAGAAAAAACCATCTGGATTCCCTAGTCCCTTCCAGCTGCTATTCTGTGCTACTCCAGCTCTAATTTATTTCTTCTCCTTGGAACATTTTTGTTCCTCCTTTCACATTTTCTCCTTTGTGAATTCCTATTCTTTTCTGGAGAAAAATCAGATCAGTTCTCAAGACTGCTATTGACTCTCATGACTTTCATGTCTGTATTTTTCAGTGTGTTTGAGATGGTTCTTCTGCTTGGCGGCCCTTTGGGCCTCTAATTCAGTTCTTAACCAGTTCTGGCTCCTTTAATTTTTTTTATTACATTTGTATAATTTGATTCTATATTTGTTATTTTTTAAACATATTTTTCAATTAGTAATTAAATCTCCTTAAGGACATGTGTAATTTTTGTCCTCCCTTTTCCTAGAAGTCACCCATTCTCAATGTCTTAACATGTCTTCCATTGAGGGTGGCTGGTCCCCTTAGATCTGCTCTTCATTTCCTTTAACTGCTCACAGTTCTATTCAGTACTGAAGTCATGTAAATCTGTGAGGATCCACACAGGCAGCATTCTTGTTAATGCTTAAAGCACAGTAGCCTTGGCTCATGTGAACCTGAGATATGTGAGAACAAAATGCCAGTTCTCTGAAGATCTTCTCTGCTTCCAAATCCCCAGCTGCAATAGTTATTGCCCTGCCAGCCCACTTGTGTAGCTCATTCTCAACAATCCTAGGGCTGGGAAATCCACCAAAGTCCCGTGGGTCCAGCGTGTTACACAAGGGATAACCTTTTCCAGAGGGAAGTTTTGATTTCTGAGAGCCGTGAAGATCCAGTCACTTCATGATCCTTTCTGCTGTGGCCCTCAGTTTCTGGCCTCACTCAAACGGAAATAAAGTTCAGAGGTGGCATCTGAGCCTTCTATGATGGGGACACTCAGTGGGTTCTGTCAGCTAATCTGTTCAGCCTAATAACTCAGGTATCAGACTTGACTGCCCCATCTTGACAGGGTAGGACATTCCACTGGCCATCTTCCAGAACCCCACACTCCTCTTTCAACCCTCCCAGAAACACTTATGATTTTAAGGTGCAGTCTTAGAAAACACTTCCTCCTGGAAGCCTTCACTGACCTCCCAAGTCTGAATCACCCATTTTCTCAAGTATTGGAAAAACACTCTGGTCTCCTCTCATTATGGAACCTGCCTTGCTATGTTGCAATTACCTATTTATTGACCCAGGTCCACACATACACTTTAAGTGTATTGAGGCCAGCCAATGTGTTCTTCTTATCAAGAGTTATCACCAATCATTACTACAGTAACTTGCACAGAGTTACTCCAGTCAACATCTGTTGAGTAGATTGATTTAATTTAATTGATCTGAATATAATATTAACTGAGACTCAGATATTGTGCTGGATGCCTTTGATGCTTTAGCCACTCATCTGACTCCACGAGGGAAGTAGAACCACCTGATTTCTGAAGTTCTCCCCGCGCTGTATCATCAGTCTGCTTTACTTTGGCTGTGTACTCGTATTAAATGAGTTGTTTAGATCAATAGAATCTTGAAGACTAATATAAGAACACTTAAGTCATTGCCACACACAATGCACTTAATTGACGTTCAGGAAATCATTTTGACCCTGGAATGAATTGGTCTTTTGAATATTACTTTTTGAGCAAAAATTTTGGTAAAATATATTTGTTGCTTCTTTGATTGCCATGTAACCTTTTGCCTCCTTTTTTGTAATAGGAACGACTGCACTTTATTTATTTCTCCTTATGCACCCTTCCATCATCAGCAATCTCCCCAGCCCCAAAACATTTGAAGAAGTTCAATTCTTTAATGGCAACAACTACCACAAGGGAATTGACTGGTAAGAAAAAAATAACCAACAGTAAAAATAAAGTCCATTGTTAACACATGCTCCGTCACAGCTGAGCAATTATAGATGTAGGCATAGCATCTACATAATTACAGAATAAATTTATGTTTAATTGTACCATAGTGAATTAGAAATTAATTTATAATGATAATATGTTTAATCAGTGTTGCCTATAATTTGATTTGGACAGTGCAATAATGATAATATTTTTCTGGTAAATTAGTATGATTGAATAAAGAGGATTATGGCATATTCTTCGTCAGAATTATTCATAAAGACATTTAAAATTCTCCTTAAGCATATTATTATTTTACTGTGCCTACAATGTTTTTAACTAAATACATAATTTATCTTCACAATGACGCTTGAGGTAGTTTTATTTTATAATCTGTGACGTGTATCTTCATTAACCACCTAGATTATAAATGGTGTGTTATAATATAAGCTGATATTTGTCTTGCAAACAAAAGAGCATTTCCAAACCCTATTAATGCTAGTCATACATGTGCATAAGAGGAAGATTACTTGATATTTGGTAAGTTATGAAAACTTAAAAATCACAATATTTTCCCTAAACTGAAATAGAGTAAACCTGATATTGGCACTGATCTTCACTCTGGGGCTTTTTTCTAGCTCTATCCCAGTTTTCTAAGAAAATACGGTTCTGATTTCCAGTTCCCAAATATACAAGGCAAATCTCCCCTGAAGAAAATTCCCCTCAATGCATACCTCTGTAACAGGTGACTTGATGTCAACGTCACACGTGAACCTGTCCTCAATGAGAGGCCCATTCTTTTAAGATGCAGCTAGGCTTAGAGTGGGGTAGGGGCGATGCCAGTGAGCAGATCCAACTTCTCACTGTGAGTAGAGACGTGTCCACTCTGCACCTGGGCTATCACTATTTTACCTTACTTAAAGCAGGCTAAATGACTTTTGAAATTGCATGTAAGTTACTCAAAGTAGAGCAGCAATTTTATGTGTGAGCTCAAGTGGAACACAAATTGTTAAGCAGGAATATAGATGAGACTTTTCACCACTTCACATTTGGGAAACATAATAACAAATGTCAAAGAGGAAAATAAGTGTCTTATATGAATTCTTAATTACACTCATCATTTATTTCTAGAACATTTGAGGGTTAGAGAAGTGATGAGCTATAAGGAGGGTTACACACATAATTAACGCCTAGCACTGAATTAACCTCTGAACATATTGATTCCATAATCTACACACAGAGGAATGTTCTGACAGCATATGGAGGAGTGAACCTATCAAGGCACCACAGGATCAACTGGCAGGAAATATCCCCTTAATTACCCTAGATAGACTATAATGTGTTCACATTGCTACACATACTACAAATTATGCAGAAGTTAAAAAGGAGGAAAGCAGCTATGCCCTAATCTGCCTAGTATTTTATAGCTATTCTGACTTACACATTTTCCTCTTTTGTGCACTTTAATCTCAAGTTAAGAATTTTATATTCAAGTTTGAAAACATAAATTTACTATTTTAAAACATTTACTAGGCAATATGGTATAATTTGCTCTTTGCCAAGGGTAAACTTAATTTTTTTGGATTTAGCTTTCAGTAGCACAGAACATCAACCCAAAATCTAAAGGAATTTCCCTCTGTTCCTTAGCAACCCATCTATTTCATCGCACTCTTTCCCCTGTCCTAAATAGTCCATTAGAACAATAATATGTTAGGTTGTTTTCACATTTGAAGTGTATAGAATAGTCTCTGTTTTGACTATTGTAACACCAATAGTTAAAAATTAATATTAATTAATGTAAAAATGTTTAAATTATTTTATATCCATCGTATGGCAGAAAAAAATTATATCTCAAATTAATTAATTTCTTTCTCTGCCTTCAGGTATATGGACTTTTTCCCTACTCCATCCAACATTACAAGCGACTTTCTATTTGAAAAGAGTGCTAATTACTTCCATTCAGAAGAAGCTCCCAAGCGAGCTGCATCCCTGGTCCCCAAAGCCAAGATCATCACCATTCTCATTGACCCCTCAGACAGGGCATACTCTTGGTACCAGGTATGAAGCAGTAAAAAATACTATTAAAAGCATGTGGTCATAGCTTGAATGTAAGAAATGGTGAATTATCCAAGTAAAGTCCAGATGTATTGAACAGTTAAATATTAAAAGAGCTAGACAAACAAAACAAATTATGAGAAATGAGCTGAATATTTAATTCATATCAAGTTGGGCAAGGAATTTCAAGCATAATATAAGAGAAAAAAATCACACACCAAAAAATTAATCAATCTGAGCCATATAAACATGTAAGATAGTTGATCTGTCACAATTAACAAAATAAAAAAGTAAAAATCTAAGTAGAGTATCTTTAGCAATACATGGTAAATGACATAAATTCCTTAATTTGTTTAAAAAAAAGCTTCTGCCCATTGACAAAAATTAAATAATAAATGTAATATTTTAGTAGAAAAATAGATAAACAAATTCACACATACACACACAAATGCAATTGCTCAACAATTTATATGAAAATGATCAACCCAAATAGGGATCAACAAAATGTAAATCAAAATGATACTTTTTAAAATATCATCTTGACAAAAACTGTCATATTTATTCTCTCTGCTATCAAGGGTGTGACGATAAAGGTTCCCAAACATTCCAATAGAAGGATACATAGGGAGGTATTTTCTGAAAGCTAATTTGACAATATTTATCAAAAAAGGTTGATAAAGATCCTTTTGTGTTGTGATTCCTCTTCTGGAAGTGATCATAAAGAGAACTTCAAAAGGGTGAAAAACATATAGCCCTTTTTTTATTCATGACAGTACCAGCCGTAATAATAATACCAACAAAAGGAAAAGTAAATAGCCAACAATGTAGAATTGTGTCACACGAAATGGAGTATTCTTCAGCATTTAATGATGGTTTTAATCAATACAATGATAATTAAAACATTATGTTCATTCTAATGTGTGGGTAGATACTAAATATGCATAAAGATATATAGTTAGAAATTTTGAATGCTCTGTGAGGAAGTATGGAAGATTCTATGAGAGCATTCTCTGTAGAAATAAACTTTAGACTTAAAACTGAAGGATGAGTAGGTATCAACTGAGTGAGGGTAGAGGGCAACTGAGGGAGAGGGAAAGTCTGTGTAGTCCACTGGTGCAAAGAACCAGTGCACAGTTAAAGAATTAACGTCCTATGGTTATAGAGTAAAACCCGAGGTGGAGACCTATGGGCGATGAGTCTTCGAGGCACGAGGTGCTGGAAGCCAAGTAGGAGAACCATGTGGGGACCATTCTTTGAGCAATCAAAAGCCTTTGGAAAATGTTAAGCTGGTGTGTAGTTACCAGAATTCCCCTTGGAAAACTTGATGCTATCTGCTCGTGGAAGAATGGATCGGAGTGGCAGAAATGACCACTCAGTAAAATCAAGTAGAGACTGTTGCAGTAGTCCTGCTGAGAGACGGAGGCAGCAGGGGCAGAAAGAGTAAATAGAAACTACCAAAAGAGATCGAGAAAGTATCAAAAGATGTTTAAGGATTAAAATCAACAGAACCTGTTGAGAAAACAGTGTCAAGTATAAACGAAATTTCCAATCCGGGCAACTGGGTAATGACCATATATTCCCATGAAAAAGAAGCACTGAAGGATTCAGGAGTTGTTGGGGGTTGTGGGGAGGCTAAGGATTGAACACCTGGTGATCAGGAGGTACAGAATCACTGTCATGCCAAAAGGAACAAAGAGGTCTGAGCGGGAGACAGAAATTTGTGAATCAGAGGCAAAAGCCACAAAAAATGGTGAATTTGCCTAAAGAGAAGGTTTAGAGAAGAAAAGTACAGAACAGGTGTGGCAGCCAGTGAGACAAGAGAATAATCCACAGGAGTAGAAGGAAAAAAATCCATCAGCGTATTGACACCTAATACAAGGAAAGGAGTATTGTGAAGTGGAGGAGGAGACAATAGTGTCAGACAGCTCCTAAGATATTGGACAAGTAGGCAAAACAAGACCTGAATTATTTTCACTGAGTTGAAAAATATGGAGGGAAGTGGAAACTTTAGCAACAGAGTGAAAAGAGCAAACCCAGATGGAAATGGCGGAGAAATAAGTAGGTGAGGATGAAGAAATAGAGGTGGCCCTTGCAAAAGATGCAAACAAATGTGATTCTGAAGGAGAGAAACTAGACACAGTGGGTCAAGGACAATGTGTTCTATGGGGTGGTGATTTGAATTATAATGAGATGTTTTCAAAGGAAGAGGGGTGTTAAAGCTCCCACCTGGGGGGGGGGGATGGGGAATCAATCAGTGAGGAGCCGGAGGGGCCAGGAAAAAGGCTCCAGGAAGTAGCTCAGGTGGGAGGGAAGCACTCCTTTTCCAGAGTTTTTCACTTTTCCTGTGCTGGGCTCCTTCTGCCAGTCTGGTGGGGTCTTACACTGCATAGTACTACAAAGGAAACAACTACATAGAAATATAGTTATCAAAATCACTTTTTAAATCAGTCACAAATATTATTTATTAAATCAGTAAATGGCAAGATCAAATGATGGGACTAATACTACTGTAATTTGGAAGTAGTGATGGGCAGAAACCACACGTGATATATCTGAAAGACCTGTATCGTGAAATAAGAGATTTTTACCGGTGGTAAAATCACAAGTACAATAAATACTGAATTTTACTTAGATATTACTAAAAATAAAGAGGCTTTTTTTTTCTTTTTGCAGATTCGCGTTCATAGATCCTCTGATTTATATCAGTGGGTCTCTGATTGAGAACCCCCGCATTAAAAATTAAGGGGTAGAGTAGGGTGTAAATGTACATGCTGGTAAATTTGAAGGTCTGGGATAGAGAAATTAAAATAACTATGATGACCTCTTTTTCCTTTAAAGTTAAGAATGAGTTAATCTGATGAAAAGGAAGAGGATTTTGAGAGGCAGTAGTTTGAGGAGAGAATAAAGGAATCTGAAAGCTTGGTACAGGAGTGAAATAAAGTTGACCAGAGAAATGTAACATTGCCTGCGGCAATTAAAGGCTAATTAAAGCTGATGATTTTGAATTTATGGTGGTAACAATCCATATGTACTAAAATCCCAATGATATGAGGGCACAAGAAATTAAAGTCAAAATAAAAAAAAATTAAAAGAAAAAATTTTAATAACTTAGCAAAATAGCAAGTAATTTGTATTTTTCTTCTTTCTTTTTCTTGACTTTTCAAAATTCCTTTAATAAACATAGATTGCTGAGAACAAATGATGATGGACAGAAAAATATGATACTGCGATTGAGACTGCAAGTGGTTGGGGATCCAAGTGGAACACTTGTTTTGGGAGCAAAATTCAGAAATTATTTTATCAGAATCCATGAATCAATGACTCCCTCAAGATACAAAAATGTGTCTTTCTCACTTTATCAAAATTCATATTGCAAAGCAAGATAAACCTACTTTTTAAAATTGTGCCAAAAATATTGAGATATTAAGCCTTAATTAAACATTTTGAATGCCAATATTTGGGACCAAATGTTGCACATTTTCCTGACAGAAAGCATGGTCCCTACTTAGAGCAGGTATATATGAATCTTTTTAAAAAAATGGATGAAATCATTTACATAAAAGAGAATCTATGCATACTTCTTCAAGTAAATTCTTTGAACATACATGTGTAAAAAGAATATTTTTTCTGATACTTCTTATTGTTATATTGCTAAGAGTAGGGTCCCCAGCCTGCTCCAGATTTCAAAATAATGAAACCTATTACTTAGCCAGTCCTGTCTATTCAGTAAGTACAGTAAATCTCAATCTTAGCAGGTGTAATTCAGAAACTCCTACAAATGTCGCCTGCCACTATAATTTCTACGCCACATTTTTATAATGGGCCTCACAGAGGACCTACAGTGCTAATTTTTCCTGTCCCTTTTTGGCATCTGGTCATATTTTTATGCTAATCTTTTTAGTTGTAGAAATATAAAAAAAAGGTTGGTGTTAAACTGGTATAAGTCATTATAGAGCAGATTAAGTACAATTCCATATTATCACTGTGTAAAGCAGAAATGTTAGCATCACTGTATTAATATGTGCATAGTATGTTTATATTTCCTTATTCAAATTTTGTAGTTTCTGCACCTTATATTAATTAAATGCATTATGTTATCTCCATTTATGTAGCATAATACATTTATAAATAAGGTCAATAAATATATAATAATAAGGTTCAAAAATTTTATTATTTCTACCAATCTACCACTCACTAGTTACTCCTTAACCATTCACCACTTTTTAATCATCTTTACTTTCTTAGTAATTTTTACTTCCCATTTACGTATAAGTCCTGCTATGACATAATTCTGTCAGGCCCTATTATACTTCCAGCCTAATCCTGTCGTAAATTTTCTCTATGTTCACTTTTAGATATTTTGCAAAATCAATTCATCCATTCGCACACACCTCATCCAACTTCAATCAGATTTACTTTAGAGATAAAGTTTTCTTAGTTTGCATGTTTATTCATTTCTGCTTATCAAAATCTTTCTCACTACATTTTAGCTCAAAAGCTTCAACCGTTAAAAAAGATTTCTTCATCTTTCATTCAGATCTAATCAGTCATTGGTCTGGCCATCATAGCAAATAAGTTATTTCTCTAATCAAATATGTGACTTCATTACAATCTGTTAATCTATTGTCTTTCAACAAGATTTGGATTTCTTTGAAGATAGTGATTTTTGTCTTGCCTATGTCTTTTTATCTCTAGAAGCTAGTGTGGGTCTTTGTTCTGGCAAGGGCCTTAATAATGCTTATGAAATTGAATTGACTTGTGTTGGGCTCTTGAGCTTGACCACTGATGATTTGATGTGAAAGACTCGGAGGATTCAGTACTAAAAAACAGTAGTGAGTTGGTATTTAGGAATGAGCAGTTAGGTGGAACCCTTGGGAGAGCAAAAGCAAAGCGCCTTGGGCAACATCAACATGAATATGACACCTCAGCCTGCATCAGGAATAGACATCCACCTTCTATACCCGTAGCACCTGCCGCACAGGGATACTGGGGGATTTTTCAGAACCCGCAGGAGCGGCTGTAATGGAACAATGAGCACAGTAATAGGTAAACCTACTCCTGCCAAAATCAAAGTCTCTGTTCATCAGGCTTGGTTTGTCTGGCCCCTGACATCTTTTCACTTCTGATCAGACCCATGGAGGAAATCCTGGCACCCTGTCTCTTGTCTTGCACCTTGCACCTTTTAGGCGTGAAGACAACCACAGGCTTATCTGAATGGTACTTGAGAGATACGGAAGGCTTGTACTTTAAATAAGCAATATGCAATTCCCTAGGTTTCAATATAGGATGCACTTTTCACCTTATTTTTCATTCTAGAATCAATTAATAATTTTCCACTACTTTTTTGAAATAAAAGACACCAACACACATATACACATATCAAACACCCACACATGCATACATACCCATGCAGGCATAAAGAAAACTGACTTTCCAATTGATTTTTTTATTAAAGCACCAACGATCACATGAAGATCCAGCTGCCCTGAGGTTTAATTTCTATGAAGTTATTACGACAGGCCATTGGGCCCCATCTGAACTGAAAACTTTGCAGAGGAGATGCCTAGTACCTGGATGGTATGCAGTCCACATAGAAAGATGGCTAACTTACTTTGCTACTTCTCAGGTAATGTACTGAAATGAATTTCTTCTGTTTATTATATCATGATTACTTTGCACTGACAAACAGGAAATATAAATTAACATTGCCACAGATAGCAATTTATTATCAGAGATGATAATACCTAAGGAAGAAACATGGATTTTTACATTTTTAATGTCAATAATAGCATTACAGTGTTAAGTGGCTGTGAAACACATTTTAGGGATCTTCTTGGATAGTAGCTGGCCTTGGAGTGGTTAAGTCCTTGCACGGGAGACATCACGTGTTTCACAGGCAGTAACTCTCAGCCAATAGCAGAGCAGCCAGTTAGACAAAACCTTTGTGGACCAGCATGTGCAGATACCCTTGTGTCATCTGTCCTGTGGGACTCTTACATGGCAAGAAGGAGGTCGTGGATTAGACTGTCAAAATGCGAAGTGCTGTTATAGCTCCAGGAACTTGGGATAGAAGGCGAAATTAGGATTTGAGAAAAGCGTCTGTCTCCTGTATCTTCTTCATTCCAGATCAGGTTGCCACTGAAACCTGAGTTCTCATTGTGGTTTGCAAGGAGAAGATATAGGTAATTTTCATCTGTATGCCCACTATTTCTAAGCCCTTGGCTCCAAGGGTAACTCATGGGATTTCGTAGGCTGGATAATTACCTGATTATGGAACAGATGGAAAACCATGTTTCTGCTGAACTACTAAATCAAGAGAGTGTCAATGTTTATTTCTGATTTACAATCAAGTTAGTTAAGGGTTATAAATAGTGACTTTGGCAAACTTTGTTGTTTATTTGGAAGGACACAGGAAAAGTAAACATTATGATGTATTCCAAGTAGCATATATTGTATATTTTCTTCCTATTCACGCTGATCTAATTGTCATACCAGGTCAAGGGAGGCAGCTCAGTTGACTTCATTTAGTTTTGTTCTTCATAAAGTGATTATTTCTAACTCTACAGCTGCTAATTATTGATGGACAGCAGCTGAGATCTGACCCAGCTACTGTGATGGATGAAGTCCAGAAGTTCCTGGGAGTTACACCTCATTACAATTACTCTGAAGCACTAACGTGAGTCTGTTCTCATGCTTGACTTCATTTCCATTATTTGCCATCATAAATTATCACTGGTAGGTGTGTATACAGCATCATTAATACTGGCTGTGAATTTATACATCATTATGCTACTCAAGAACAATCCAAGGAATATCCTCATTATTCATGTAGTGTCTCCTTTTTGAATACCAGGGACAATTTATCTTATAGGCATTTTATGTATCACAAATTTCCCTTTTTGTAAGCTTTATCCCATTATACATTTGATTAAGTAAACTTTTTTTTTTACATGCCTACTCTGTGCAGAAGTTGCAAAGGTGAAAAAGATATAATCTCTTCTCCCAAGTAATTTACTAGTTAGAAATAAAATGCAGATGGCCACCATTAGCTTTATGAAAGTGACCAGTATTGGGGGCAGAATTGGGAAGGGGACACATCTATGTTTTACTCTGTATTTATTAAATTATGTATAAGCAAATATAATCACATAATAATTTTGCAGTTGTCTATTATTGCCTGACAGACCTTCCAAACCTACCAGCATATAACGGTAGCCATTTTTTTATGCTCATGGATCCAGTGGGCTGGGACTTTAAACAGGACACATCCAGGACAACTTGTCTCTGCTCAGAATACCTGGTGCCACCTCTAGGAAGACATGACTACCTGGATATGACTTGAATGGCTGGGGCCTGGAATCTTCTGGAGGATTCTTCACTTCTCCACTCACCTCTTAAAGGGTTCTTGGGCTGGGATGGCTCCAAGCTGAGTTCAGTGTGACAAGGCCTCTCTGTGTGACTTTCTCACAGTCTAGTGGTTGTGTGTTCTGAGGGTGTGACATGTCCAGGGAACATGGTCCAGGGCATGTCACACAGCAGCACTGACATCATATTCTATTCATCACAGCCAAGTCACTAAAGCCAGTACAAATCCACAGCGAGGGGAGGGGGCCTCCCCCTCTTGATGGAGCGGGGCATGGGCACCTTGCAGAAGAGAATGTGGGAGGGGGGATAGTGCTGCCGTCATCTTGGGAAAATAAAATCATATACTTGCATAATTGAAAATGTAAATAAAAAGTATAAAGAAGCAAAATAACAAACAAACAAAAACAAAAGCTCCAGGCAGCCAAAATATATATTTAAAAGCGCATGTACTTGACTCCCTCACAAGGCCTGATATAAAGCCTATTAAATTGTAGACAAAATCCTAACGAGCTTGATTATATAATTTCCCAGTTCACAGCGGATTAGAACCAGCAATTAGACAATTAGAGAGGGTAATGGAAGGACAGGAAAAGTAGTAATAAGATTGGGTTGTTCCTTATCCACTGAAAGAAGTCTAATGAAGTTTTCCCCTACACTTGGAAATAACAACACAAGGCATGCCCCTGCTGATTAAGTAAACCAAGCTTCCTCTAATACATTTACATTAATAGTTATCGATGTCGGCATGTCTTCCCCTGCCTCCCTGCAGGAGTTTAGGGAATGATTCGCTCCTGTTCACTACAAATAGTGCTTATGGTTCAATAAACCTGTAAAAGCATACTCCTAAAGAAGAGATTACAAACAAGTGCAGAATATATGGCTTTTAATATGTCTCACCCATTCCCAAAATTAATAATGAGAGTGACGTTCAGTGCAATAAACGAACTCGTATGGCAACCAGTTCATGTCCTCAAAGTTGTCTGCCGCTTATTTGAGAAAGGCTTTGCATCTCAGTTTCACAATTTCAGGCCTACTAAAACCAAACCATAAAGCAATGCTTCGATAGAACTTAGCAAAAATAAATGCCCTTTGTCAGACTTAGGGTAGATACAATGTTGTCCGTGCCGTAAATGAAACCAGCACAGCACAATTAGGTGGATTCAAGGTGATGGCAACGCGACTGTAAAGAATGACTGTCACTATTCTGGATGGCTCTCCTTCCTCAGGTTGTATTAAACTCTGCCTCACAACAGCGGCTGTGGAGAGCAAGGAGAGACGGCCGCCCATCCTGAGACCTCTGCACACCAGAGAGCAAAGAAGATGCTCTCAGTGTGTGTATAAATATTTTGGCTTGGTTGCCAGAGCTGTACTTTACCTTAATGCAGTTAAAAAGTCTCATCCTGTGGCAGAAAATGCTGTTTAGGGGCACCGTTATGCCAACTTCCCCGTCTCATTTTGCACAGCATGCCGAATTGTTTTTCCTCTTGGGAAATTAATGAAAACTAGAGACAGGCTGTGAGAGGCAAGGAGCAGATTGAAAAGTCCAGGTTAGAAATGACCCTGTCTTCCTTTTATCCATTTAATCAGTGATGTATTTAATTTTAATTGATAACATGTACTAGGACAACCTGGACTGCAAGGATCAGGTCTCTAGTAATAGGTTGGGCAGGGAACTGTGAAGAAAATTTCTCTCTCCCCCTAAATGAGCTCACATATGTGCAGAAGCAAACTGCAGGTGCACCGGCATTACAGGAACGGGCCCAGGGCAACAAAATATTCTGCAACTAATTAACTTTACATCCTAGTCAATTATGCGTCATCCTTCTAAAACATCTGCTGAGCAACAAAAATGCAAACCTTTTCGATGTTTTATGCATGCAGCAAGTCCCATAGCAATACATTTAAAATTTCCCTGCTTATTTGTTCATTCTTTCATTTTTCCTATCTTGTTAGTCCTAAACAAAAATTCTTATAGACCTGAGTTTAAACAAATAATTAGGCCATGCATTCTTTCTTTTGTAAATTTGGGCAGCCGCATGGGCAAAAACAACATTAGAATTCTCTTTAAGAGTATAGGGTTCTGAATTATCCAGTAGGATCATCTACTTTCGACAAAAGAACTGACGTATTGTCTAGTCTTACACTTACCATTTGTATAACCGGTGTCTCACATTGTCTGGAAAAATACAGTGAATTATATTTTTACCCTTTTAATTCCTCCTTGAAAAGTGAAAACATTTCGACTGTTAAAAAAAAATACAGTATTTTTCTTAGAAGCATTAATTCATGTTTATATTCACAGAAGTATGTTTATGTTACATTCAGTCCCCTTAATATATACTATTGAATGATTTCAAAGAAATCTGTTAATATATTTTAACAGGGAAATCATATTAATAAATGAATATTCTAAATATTCTAAAGATCCTTTTTATAGGGGTGGTAGTTTTGTTGATTCATCTTTGATCTTTTATGGATGAATAGGTAAAATATGGAACTTAATAATTTCAACATAAGGAAAGAAAAAAGATCTATATGTCTTTTTTCCTAACAATAGAACTATTCAAAAATATATGACATAATTTATTTAACCTCAATTAAATCTCTCAAATCAATTCAGTGAATTATATTGGTAGAACTGAATTAAATTAAATCAAAGCAACAGGCATACGAAAGTGCATTTCCTTTATACAATTGGTGAAGCTCTCTCACTCGAAATTCTGTACACAATTTATAATCATTATATTTTATTATCATTTATATATTTGATCTTTTGTAGTTTTGATCCCCAAAAGGGCTTTTGGTGTCAATTACTGGAAGGAGGAAAGACCAAATGCCTTGGAAAAAGCAAAGGCCGAAAGTATCCACCCATGGATCCAGAGGTAATGTTTTCCTAATCTTTGAAATACTCTGTGCATACAACTGTTTCAAAAGTAGAAGACAGTAAATGTGCTTCCTTCATTTGCTCTTTCTTTGCTATCAATACTTTTATGTATTTAGAAGATAGATAGACCAACAGATACATATGATCAATAAATATCCATAGAAATTGTGTGTTGCTGGGATGCAATTCAAACATAAATGTTGACTGTACAGTAGCACCTTTCCAAATGTGTAAGGTACTTATATAAATTATCTACTAAACAAGCGATTTTGGATAAAATATATAAGCATTATTATTATATATTAAATATATGTATCCAACGCCTATACCATGTGTGGTACTGAGTTAAACAATGGAGAGTAAAGTGTTCTGATCACCAGCTACAGCATGTGGGTGGGTACGTTTTTCCACCAAGCGATGCCCAGACCCCAGCTGCATGTCCCACATTTCAACACAGTTCTAACCACAGTATCAGATCCCACAGGTTAAGGGCCCAGTCCTACGAGACGGCCTCCCTCCCCTCCCCTCCACTTCACAGAGCAGTGCCAAAGTGCTGATTATCACCTGGGCTCTAGATCAACTGGCTATCCATTAGAGGTTCTAACAACTCCCTCCTTGAGTTTGATTAATTTGCTAGAACGGCTCTCAGAACTCAGAGAAAATGTTTTCTTACTAGACCACTATTTTACTACAAAGAATATAACTCAGGAGTGGCCAGATGTAAGAGATGCACAGGGCGAGACACAGGGAAGAGCATGGCTCTTCTGTGCCCTTGCCGAATGCGTGCACTGCTCTCCCCAGTCTCCACATGTTCACCAGCCTAGAAGCTGTCCAAACCCTGTCCTTTTGGGGCCTTTATGGAAATTCCATTACATAGACACGATTGATTAAATCATTGACCAATGGCAGTTAATTCAACCGCCAGCCCCCTCCCTTTCCCCAAGGTTGGGGGGATAGGATTTAAAGTTCTAACCTTCTAATCACAAGGTTGGTTCTAGCAACCAGGCTCCATCCTTGGGTGGGCTCCAAAAGCCACCTCATTAACATAACAAAAGATACCTTTATCACTCTCTCCCTTAGGAAATTCCAAGTGTTTTAAGAGCTCTATGCCAGAAATGGGGTCAAAGTCCAACTACATATTTCTTATTATAAATCACAATATCACAATTAGGATACAGGATAAAACAGTTACAAACCCAAATTTATTATAGGAGGGTAAATTAGTTATGATCACTAATTTATAATAAGATACATAGAACAATGTCAAACTACAAAAAAGCAGGGGAAAAAATCTCTCAATAAAAGTTATGGTATGAGGAGATAAGTTAAGATTGGGAAACCAGTTAGCAATCAGCTGAGAAGCTATAATGAGTATCTCTCCTAAGGCAAGGTGGGCAAAAGGCGACTGGAAGTGATTCAGGTGTTACTATGGAGATAGAAGAACCAGAAGGTCCTCAAACCATACCTTTGAACTCAATAATTTCAAAAGGGCTTCAAAAATCACTTTACTCTGCCAAGAAATCAATGTAATGTTCCCATGACTTCTATAAACATCTTATCCTGAATTTGAAGTGTTTACAGCCTGGTTTAAGGGAAGAAATGTAATGAAATACCTGGTGAATGGTCCAAGACAAAATGTACTTGTCTTAAGTCCATTTCCACAGTATAGACAAAAGTTGCTAAGGGACTTTTATGAAGAAAGAGATTCATTTGTGCTAAAATATTGAGAAGGCCTTAAGAGAGAGAGTGTAACTCTGATCAGATGGAAAATGATGTGTGGGCCATTACTGCCCCCATTCCTTTCTCACAGGAAAACATGCTCAGCTCAACTGTTTAATCAAAGAGACACAGAACCATGTTCATTGGGTTATAATATGAGGTAAGTGACATCCAGAGAGAAACCCAATTATAAATTTTCTGCTTTCTAGAAAGAAAAGAAAACAAACTAAACCCACTGATATATTTGATAATCCTTTTTTAAGCCACTCATCTAAAAATGGCCAATCACACCAGCTTGACTAGAAATATAAGAATCACCAGAAAGATCATTAAAATGATCTTTGTAATGAGACCTTATAATATTTTTGAACTACAAACGCATGATAATTTTTTTTAAATCTGTTTTGGTCCTGATAAATATAAAAAAATTTTTTGCAGTGTTGCAAGTTATTTCTTTAATCATAAAATTTAGCTTTTATGATTATGTTCACTTTTTATTTTTATGTTATGGCCCAATTTTATAGAAATTGACCGATTTCAAACAAAGAGGTGTTTTTTTTTTGGTAGGCTTGGAACCACATCAGGTTCCTACCTACCTCATTCTTCTTTAGAATTAGATATCTCTCATCAGCCTTTCTCCCTGTGTAGATTTCATGAACCACACAATACACAAGTGCTGTCATGGTATATTAGCCACGTAAGTTATACCTGACCCGTTTTTACTTTACAGCTACACTTCTGCCAAATCTTTCTGAAAGGTAAAAATGAGTCATGTCTGTCAGAAAATACAAAGAAATGCATCCAGAAATATACCCAATCTCATTTAATGAACTTGTAACTTCCTTCAAGTCTTCTTTTTCTGTTTGCTTTCCAGTCTAGAACTTTCCTCTCTAATTACTACCGAGATCATAATGTGGAACTGTCCAAACTGCTACATAGGCTGGGGCAGCCTCTACCGTCATGGCTGAGACAGGAGCTGCAGAAAGTGAGATAGCACTGGGGACGAGAACAAAGTCTCACAAGTTACTGACTCTTCCTATGAAACAGGAAAAAACAAAAACTTTTATCCCCTTAATGCACTTGTGATTGTCAACAAAGGACCGTGTGACTAAATCTCCTATCTTTTTCATAAAATGAAAAATGTTATATATGCACGCATTGGCAAGTACTAGCATCAATCCCTGTGTGAGCTTTTGGGAAATAATGTGGGGTTTTGTGGCATTATCCAGTTTCCAGTGTGGGGATTATAATACAGCCCAGTTCCTCTGTTAACCATAAGGTTTTGGAAACTCTGCGTATGACTAAGAACCCTGATTATATACAAGTGACAAATTAGAATTCTGAGGAAAAGATAAGAACTGAGATTCTGTAAATGAGGTAGAAGTAATCCAATATCTGAAGTAAGGGCTCACATTTTCTCTTTGCTAATTTAAAAACAATTTTGCTTTTATTATGAAAAAATTATATAATCCCACACTCTTATTTTGAGCAGCAATTATTTATTCTATTTAGCCCACACATATTTTCTTCTGTTACCCCTCTTTATGAATTCCCTTGACTTGCTAGGGAAGTTGTGAAGTTGTCACCGCCCACATTTTTGGTCTATGTTCCTGCTGTAGGAGGAGACTATCTGGAAGTTTCCATACTCATTGATAATACTCTTTTTTTCTGGCAGGGCACGCCATTCTCAGTGGATTTTGAATTACGGTTCCAATAAAATCTATCAGACATTTTTGGGGAGAATGAGTGAGAAAGTGCATACTTTGCATAATATATTAACTACTAGGTGTAAGGCCATCTTTATAGGTCAAAAATCTTACCATACTATTAATCTAGGTCTTGCCACCCTGATAATGATGTAGTATGTATGTATTTTTTCACTACCCACAGAAGAAGAAACCTTTATTGATAAGATACGGAATGAAGAAATCAATATGTGTTTACAGGTAGAGTGAGGCACTTGTGCCTTTTATGTAGTATATGTCAGTCGTTTAAAGCATGAACTTTTACATATGCCAGTACATATACTAGTGCAGAAGACTATGTTTTTAATGTCTATTTAAAAGAAGAAATATAATCTAAAACTTACCTCTTTAAACACCACTGATTCTCTAAACTAAACCCTATTTCTCAGCCATGGCATCCAAAAATTAATTTCTAGAGAAGTGATGCTCTTTCTGTCTTAGAGTTACAGGTTCCTCTCTTATGTGGAGATTCTTGTCGTGCCGGTTGGATTTTTGTCTCATTTGTCAATGAAGATGTGTTAGAGCTTTGTTAATCTTCTCAGTGATACATGAAGGTAAAATTTCTGCAGATCAGTAAATCAAACTGTCTTTGGTAGCTTTATCTCTCAATCTGTCCTTCCTCCAGAGTAATTTTTCTATAGGCTGTAAATAATGTTACTTTCTCCTAGAATCTGAGAAGTTATGCTTGACATAATTCAATGTTGTCAAAGGAAATTGAAGATCATTGTTTTCTTGTTTATTTATTGTTTGTTGTTTTAAGAAAGCAATTCAAGCCTAATTTAAAAGAGAATCAAGAATTTTTACATACTTTTGTCAGAATTCAACATTGGATTTATGCTTTATTAAAATTTTGTTTGTTTTCCTGTTGTTTTTCCACTGCATATAAAGGCTCTTAATCTTTTTCAGAAAATGTAAAATTTTTCTTGGGTATGAGTTGATACAAATCACAAACTGTTACTTTTGCTGTTTCTTTGTTAAGTGAGAGGCTGAATTTCTCAACCTTACCTAGGTGAGCATGTGCTTGATAGCATTCCATTAAGCACACTGAAATCACAACAGTTGTGTATTTAGAACTCTAATTTTTGATTTATTTGTTCACTAGTTTCCTTTACATTCTATTTTTCTCTCTTTCATGAACTAGAGGTTAACTTTTTTCCCAAGTTGGGTAACAGAGATATTCATAGAAAAGAGGGGAGATATTTTTTATATTAAGTAAAATTGATGTAATTTAAAGTCCAACTCATCACCAGATTTTTTTAAATGTAACTAATTTTCTGCATTTCCTTATTGTTTTCTAACTAATATACAAAGTATCATTCAGTTACCTACAGATACCTGGTGGCAAAATTCCCTCAAATTCAAGTACTCTCTTCTCCCCTAGTTCATTTCAGTCAATGTGTATGTTCTTCTTATGATTGATAATGAAGACAAAAAGCAAATTTTAATTACATAATTCATCTTCATCTCTTACAGTAAACTACTTAGAGGGACTCTGGGCTATGAGGAGATTATAATAAATCTGGAAAAATTTTACTTTTAAGAATATCTTGGTTTTCCCAATTTTTACCCACTGGCTACTTCAAAATTATTGACTCAAGATTTAACATATGTAATTCTTTAACATTTTAAGTAAATTATCTTTTGTACTATTGAGTGACATACTTTTTAAAAGTTTAAAGATCTTCCTAAAACCTTTAAATAAGCTAGTGTCTTCTCTTTGCTTCGTTTTCTTTTTTCCAGTGACCTAACTTACAAATACAATTGTTGATTACATTAATAAAAGTAAGGAAGAATATTTGATTATAAGCTTACATCAAAATATTGCATGTACTTGTCAACTACCAGTCTCTAAAAGTCCTATTACAAATCTCATACAAAAATGAATTTTGTTTGTATTTAACAATGGCTCCAAAA